CATCATTTACAATGTTCACTTGGTTATACAGAAAGTGTCATTGTTATGTTGTCAAAATCAGTCTCTTCCTTTAACTTCTAGGTGTTATGACTTTCTTAGAAAGCCTTTCCCTACTCCAAGATTATAAAATAATCTTCTCTTTTTTCTGCCATGCCTTCTAGTGTTTTTAGTTTCATTTATAATCTTTAAGGCCAAAGCTCATTTGTAATCTTTAAGTCTAGATGTTATTATGACATCTAGAATTTAGGGCAGATCCCTCAGTAGGAAGGGATCTAGTTTTCTTCTCCCTCTCCTTAGATGGCTTACTACTTGGCACACAGACATTTATTATATGATCTGTCTTTTCCCTACTGGTTTGTAGTGCTTACTTAAAATGCTCAGCGTCTCTTTCTGTATTTTTTGCCTCTTCTTGTGTTCTTCATTTTTTTGATTGATTGACTGATCGAGACAGGATCTTGCTCTGTCCCCAGTCAGGGATGCAGTGGCACAATCATAGCTCACTGTAGCCTTGAACTCTTGGGCTTAAGGGATCCTCCTGCCTCAGCCTCTTGAGTAGATGAGACTCTAGGCACCCGCCACCATGCCTGGCTAATTTTTAAATTTTTTTGTGGAGACATAATTCCACTATGTTGCCCAGGCTGGTCTTGAATTCTTGGCCTCTGGTGATCCTCCTGCCTCAGCCTCCCAAAGTGCTAAGGATTACAGTGTGAGCCATTGTGCCTGGCCCATGGTTTTTAATAGATACAGTTTTATGATACTTTTATATATCTTTTAGAACTTGTCGTTGCTCACTTTTATTCTTTTCCATACATTTTTGGCCTCTCTTCTTGTGACTTCAGAATGGTTTTTTTTTGTTTGTTTGTTTGGTTTTTTTGCTTCCTTAGGAGAAAAAAAAAATTACATAACCTTTAAAATCAATGTTTCCATTTCCAGCTAATATTTTCAGAGGCAAACTTTCAATACTGATATACTTCTCTGATATTAGTCCACTTCTAAATGAAATACTTATATTGATCTTTCTTGAATTTTCAATATTAGATATTATCTATTGACTTCCTCCACGAAAGAAAAGGATTAGCTTTCTTAGACTTTCTATTCCCAATACACAATCATGGCACCCCTCCTTTCCAGTCTTCCTAGTATAGGTATATTACAGTTTTTGTTTAGATCAGTATTCAGTGCTTTTGTTATTATGACATTATATTATATTACATTATAGCCAAGCCTATAGGGAATTATGCTTACATTTCCTCCTTTGTACATTTTTGTTTGCTTGCCCTGGGTTAAGATTAATTAATGTCTTTTTTTTTCTTTGCTTAGTTTTCTCATTTATCCTAGAACTATTCTCTAGAAGTGAAAAAAAATTGTCTCAATGCATTTCAGTAATCAGTCAGTTTCCCTTTTTCTTGGTGCTATCCCTCCAGAGCACTCTGCTCTTGGGCTCCAGTCTGGACTGATTGATCTCCAGGCCTGCTGCACAGCTACCATCCTGTGGATTCCTGTCACTTTATCCTGGGTTGGATCCCCTATTTCTTGGATCCCGTGGTTTCCTCTTTCTTGATTTATTCCCTTGTTTTTGGTGGAGCACATCTTCTAGAAGTTTCCTGAGAAGAAGTATAAGAGAACTAATCTTTTAAAAAT